TGCTCGTTCCTATGGAGAAAAAGGAGTAAGAAAAGAGTAAAATCGTTACTCTTCTAAATAGATTATACGTTATACAAGCTCACCAATAAATTATTTAAAACACTAATAAAAACGTTGCTTCGCACTAGGATTTTCTCCTGTGTTATTGCTGCGTTTACAAACATACAATTTCACATGCACATCACACCCAGACCCAGAACAACAATCTGTGGATCACACAAAGAGTTGTTCCGTGCGGGAATTCAACCCGCGGCACGTTGCACGGCAGCCAGTTGCCCAGCCACCGCGCCAACCATGTACTCAAAAAATTGTACCCATATTTACAAACAACACGGAAAACAAGCTGTTAGAAAAAAAAAGATCAGATAGAAAAAGAGCGTTAAAAATTGTACAGAACCTCTTGAAATAACAGGTAATAATAACTCCTGGGTTTTTCCCACATATATGATTAGAGGTGAGCCAATAAGACTTGCAAATGGTTGCATAATTTATTATAGTAATAGTTCGTACTTGATTACTGGACACGCATCGCTGCATCGTGAAATAATACCAGCTAAGTCTACAGATATTATGTCTTAGTGTTCAAGATCTTTGCTGGTGTGTCGTAGTCAAGTTCAGAGCAGGAGAAGGAACGGGGTGGAGTCAGTAAGAGTCTGACACTCCCTCTCCATCCAGGGCAGGAGAAAGAAGTCATTGGATGATATGATTTCGAAACGCGAAAAAGTGTTGAAGGTACATTTTTGCCCGCGACTACGTTCGCGTGGAATATTGACTTCCTGCAGATGTATGGTATAAAAACTATCTTATATCCTTTCTCGAGTAACAAACTATGTCTGTACCAAATTTCACAGAAATCGGTTCAGTAGTTTAGGCATGAAGAAAAGAGTTACTTTCGCATTCATATTAATATTAAGTTTGCTTTTGAAATTTTTTTTTTAGTTAGAAAAGGAACAGGGAATTTTTAGTCAGTAGGTAAGAGTCTGACACTCCCTGGGCGGGTAAAAGTAATTTGATGATTTTCCCCTCGCAAAAAAAACCCTCGTAACTTCTCTGATCAAAACTCTGTCCCTTTATTACGAAACAAGATTAATCTTTAGTCTTGGTTAAAACCATTCAGTCAGGTTTTGTATTTCGAACCTTATTCTTACCTGCCTTCAATTTGAAATACATACATAGGTAAACTGGCTCAATGGTTTAGTCCTAGAATAGAAAAAGGCTTTGTTTTTTTAATAAGGCCTTATTAATTTTTAGTCACAACAAGAGGCTCTAGACAGAAGGACTACTGCAAATCAGCAGTTCGGATGCAGCTGACACGACTGCAAACCAGTCAAGTAGTCCGGTTGCAGTTCAATTGCATTCGGCGTGCAGTCGTGTGTTGGTTGGCTAGTTGTTTTGTAGTTCGGTTGAAGTCGTGTCAACTGCATTCAAATTGCATCCGAGCTGCTAATTTTCAGTTGGATTGCAGTTGAAATCCAGTCAGACTGTCTAGAGCCTAAAGCGACCAGCGAGCTGCTAAATGTGTACAACATTTTTCTCCTCATCTCTCTATCATTTTAGATAAAATCTACAGTTTTTTATATGTATAGAAGTTATGTAGTTATTTCGTAAGGCCTGTCATTCACCTCCAATATAAGTACGCAAAGCGTTCCGATGCGTTGCATTGCGTGCATCAAAGAAAGTGTCCGTCACAGACGCATAACAATAAAAGACAAGAAATGTGGTTCCGTAATCCGCAAACTTCTTGCAGAATTAATAACATCACCGCTATATAGTCGAAGTGTTTAGATTTAAGTTTTTTTTTCAGTACCCCTAGGGATTAGAGTTTTTTGACAGAGCCTGCGTTTTTCGAATGACATAACCTGAATGTCGTCAGAGCTCTAGGCGTACTCCATTGTAGATCGCATCATCGCTACCCAAAAGTCTTCACTGCAAATTTCAAAGATACAATTAACTTTTTTTTGTGAGGGGACAATCAAATGACTTCTCCCTCCCAGGGTCGGGCAGGAGGCAGTGTCAGACTCTTACTGACTAAAAAACCCCCTGTTTCTTCTCCTGCTCTGGGCCGAGGTCGCGGAAGTACAATTAACCTAGCGTTCTATTTGAGAATCATTTTCTCCTCAAGATGCTTTTAGGTTTTAATTGATTCAATTTCATATGATGCCAAATAAAGATTAAAAAAACGTTGCACAACATTAGCATTCTTCCTGTGTTGTGCGTGCGTTTAAAAACATATAAATTCACATACACAAGGCACCTAGACATGGAACGACAATTTGTGGATCATACAAAGTGTTGTACTTGATATCAAACCCGTAAAACATTGTATAGCAACAAGTTGCCCAGCCACTGCGCAAAAAGTAACGTACTACGAATACCACTGCTAGATAAAATGTTTCATTAAAACATTACCATGTTCTTTTCCAAAACAATCGACACAATAAAACTTTAAATCTAGATCTATTCACACTCCATGCGTATGCGCATAGGAGGGTGCGGAAATTACGATCGTGTGCGCATTGCGTGTAACTAGCAAAGACAGTGAGTGTTGTCTATCAAACCACGCAAGTCGTACTATAACTATTGAATATAGTAGTGTTATTGTGAGTGTTTTGTAAAAATAATAATAATAGGTAGGTAGTTGTGAAAAAAGAGACCGTGTTTTGTTTATTGTGACGGGAGAAATCATTAATTGATGTTTCTCGCTCAGGGTCGAGCGCGAGGGAGTGTCAAAGTCTTACTGACTAAAAACCAAACGGTACATTCTCCTGCTCGAGGCAGGAGTCGTGGTATATTATCGTGCTTGCCCCAGTAACTTTGAGGTTTAAGTGTAGGAGAGCCATGGTTCGGCACGAATGGGTCGGCTTAATCGGAGTGATACCACGGCCTCACAGAAAACCGGCGTGAAAAAACCACAGCGTTGTGTTTCACCTCCTCAATCCCTCGCCAATCCCTAAATCTCCAAATTCCCTAATCTCCAAAAGGTCGGCAACGCACTCGTAACTCCTCTGTTACGGGTGTCCATGGGCGGCGCTGATTGCTTACCATCAGGTAATCCGTCTGCTCGTTTGCCGGTCAATTACATAAAAAACAAAGTTATCTCCATGAGAAATAACTGTTAAATTTGAAATTTGAATCTACGACGCATAGACATATATATTACTAGCGTACTACGACGGCTCTTCTCTACCCACTGTCGGTTCTAGAAAGCTTGTTAGACTCTTACTGACTGAAAATCTACCGGTTTCTTCGTGTGTCCTAAGGTTAACTCCGTGACAAGTGACCGTTAAATTTGAAGTTTGAAACATCAGCAACGGTCATAACTGCCTGATGCAATAAGTCGGTTCTACATTAGACAGTTGATCATAATAGATGTTCAAAACTGCAGTTTCTGACTCAAATGGCAGTTTCTTTGCGGAGTAAAAACATCAAATGATCAGCTGTGAGTTTGGCGAGAGCGAGTCAGACTCTTACTACCGAGCCTGGCCAAGGTACATCTAAGCGCTTGACTGAGCGATACTAGCGACCCGCCCTGGCTGGGTGGCACGGGTACGAAGTTGCTACTAAAATTCTCATCAATTTTGATGGATGTTATAATACGTACATATAAAACTTCCTCTTCAATCGCTATGTTAAAAAACGAAAATCCGTTGTGTAGTTTAAAGATTTAAGCATACATAGGGATATAGGGACAGAGAAAGCGAGTTTCTTTTATACTATGCAGTGATAGTGACAAGTACCAAATTTCATTATAAACAGTTCAGCAGTTTCCGTGATTTCTTACTCGAAAGTTCGTATGAAGACTCGTGTGACGTTCTCGACGCTGGTAAGTGATTTGCGGAAAGTATGAATGACTTACTAAGTAATATAAAACACGCAATTGCATAATAAGAATAGCCTTTACGTACAGCTATAAAATTCTTTTATAGTCATTTATACATGTTACATATACTTGCATTAGTCTGTTTAATTTTTTTTTGTCTATTATAAATCACTACATTGTATAAAACAAAGTCGCTTTTTCTGTCACTAACACCCGGTTTCCGAAAGGCCAATCAATGTAAATCAATTTAATATCTTGTCAAGTCATTTGATTGGTTGACTGAATACGGTAATTTCCAACTAGTCTAATTCAATACTTTTATCTAAATGTCAAAAACTATATTTTTCGATGAAATTTGTATGAAAAACTGAGTTATGACGTCATAGTATTTTTGCGTCAAACAGCTTACTTATTTCTTAATAATTAGCTACAAAATATCGAAAACGTAGTGTATCGATCGATCGATGAATGAAAGTACAGTTATTTTTCAATATTTTATTGTATTGAAACGTCGAATTAATTTATTTTTGACCTGGGAAACTACCCAATTATCAACAACCAATCAGATGACTTGACATGAGATTTAACAAGAGATTAGTTAATTTTAGCGTTGACAAGCCTTTCAGAAACCGGGTGTTAGTGCCAGAAAAGGGGTATGTTAGACAATATGTTTCCCTATGTATTCTTAATTCTTCAAACCTACGCATCATTTTGCTTGAGTAATCACCATGCTTGCTCAAGACGGATTGACGATTTCAAACTTATTTATTACTAGCAGCCCCAGCCACGAGTTGCTGTGGCTAAGGTAAATAATATTGTGACTATAAATTGAGATATAAGCTATCCTATCTTGTAAGTTGGATCATAATGCACACTTAATGCAAATCAAATTTAAAATCGGTTTAGTGAGTCCATCGCGGAACTACACGTCACACGATTTTTTATATATACTTCCAGATTTCATTACGATATTTTCCTTCGCCTATAGATACTTTTATTTCAATTTCTATGCCTTAACCGGATGTCAGTGGTGTCTAAATAATCATAGAAAGTACAACTTGAGAAAAATCGTATTAGTACTGGACAGGTTTCGAACCCTCATTTATGAGAAGCCAACACCTACACGACGAAGCTATCCTTTATTTTATTTTAATTGATTTATTCGTTTTTATTGTTACAGGTCCAGGCTTCATAGAGGATTTGGACATAGAGGCGTATATGAGCTCCGTCGGCGAAGGATGCTACGCTCCACAAGCCATCGATCCGCGCCGTACCGGGTAAGCAGACTATTGCTCTATCAAAGCACTTTTTGAATATATGACTTACTGAACCGTCCATCCTTCTGTTTTAATATTAATTACTAGCTACTTTTTTTTTTCTATGTAATAGGTCGGCAAACGAGCAGACGGATTACCTGATGGTAAGCAATCAGCGCCGCCCATGGACACTCGCAACGCAGGTGTTACGAGTGCGTTGCCGACCTTTAAGAGATTAGGGATTTGGAGATTTAGGGATTGAGGAGGGAATGGGGAAGGGGAAGGATTGGGCCTCCGGTAACCTCACTCACACGGCGAAACACAACGCAGTGGTTATTTCACGCCGGTTTTCTGTGAGGCCGTGGTATCACTCCGGTCGAGCCGACCCATTCGTGCCGAAGCATGGCTCTCCCACACTTAAACTTACTTTCTCGCAGTTTCACCCGCTGCTCAGCTCCATTTGATCTTAGCGTGATGTGTTATGGCCTATAGCACTCAGGAACATTGTAGCTATCTGTCAGAGAAAGAATTTTGGCAATTCGACCAGCGGTTCCAAAGATTACCCCCTACATACAAACTTACAAATTTTCCTCTTTATAATATTAGTATCGATTGTGGTATCGATGAACTACCTATCGGGTGATCTAGGTTACCCTTTGTATTTGACTAGGCAAATGCCTATGCTCTAAGAGTCTAAATAGACTCTTAGAGCATAGGCGTATAAAATCGGACTTAGCGTGATCCTAGAACTCGTTTTTGAGTAGATTATTAAGATAATTTTAGAATACAAAATCTTTACCGTGTCTATCTGCAGTCAGTAAATGGATTTTTTGGCAGTTTTCATCTGCACATAGTTCTTAAATAAATTTGGAAACGCAACAATGTATCACGACCCCGCTAAAAGCAGGAGGAGGAATAAAATGGTTTTTAGTCAGTAAACTATCGCTCCATCCAGGGTAGAAGAAGAAATTCTATAGTTTCTCGTCTTAAAAAAAAAAATGTGCAATGAACACCGGTACCGAATTTGTTGGCGGATATCAAGTAAACCGAAACATAGTAGTAGTAACTAGTTAGCCATACTGCTTTGCTCACATCTATACTAATATTATAAAGAGGTAAAATGAGTAAGTCTGTATGTTTGTAAGTTAGTATTAGGGGGTAATCTTTGGAACCACTGGTCGGATTGCCAAAATTCTTTCACTGGTAGGATAGCTACAATGTGCCTGAGTGCTTTAGGCTATAAAACATCACGCTACGATCATATGGAGCTGAGCAGCGGGTGAAACCGCGCGAGAGTAGCTAGTCAACTATAAAGTTCAAAACTAAATCAATAATTTCCCTTGCAGAGGCCACCAGCTGCCAGAAAGTCCACCGGACTCTGGATCAGAGAACCCATACAGTCCATCAGACCCTCAAGTCTCCCATGCCATATCCTTACCCCAAACAGTCCTTAGTTCGGACTATATGCTGGTCCATGACCATATACCAACTCAAGAGATCCTCCAGCAGAATGGAGACTATATTTATGAGGAGCTGAAGACAGATAATATAGATGGGTTGAGGAGTAACCTGAGTGATGTAGTGGTTCTACCACAGGACTCCAATATTGTGGAGTTGGGGATCAGGACGGTCAGACATGATTTGGGACTGGGTGATGTTTATCAGAACAGGTATGTTGTAGTTTTAGATGCATTGGTTTTTGTCTCGATTGGTTTTATGTTGGCAGTTTTTTCTAAGCTGCGATGCATGTTGAGAATTGCTAGATTAGAAATTTCAAGGAACCCGAAGCTGCCGATTGGAGGTTTTATGACCATTGCCGTACTTATGCTATTTCTGACGATTTTTTATTAGATCTTAGCTCAACACTAAATTCTGGGATCATAAATGAAAGTTGAAAATTTGTTTTGCTTGACAATTTCTTACTAAGCAATCCAAAACTTATACATTATACAATCTAACAGACCAATTTAGAAAAGCACAATTAACATAGTCACACATTTTTATCTGATCTTTTCCAACCTCTCACCATTCCAGATATAGCCAGATGAGGGTGGATATGCCAGAACTGGAGCAGGGTATGATAAACCCTCAGCTGGTGGCTCTAGGACATGAGACCCTGACTCCAGTGTACACCAGCCTTCAGGAACCGAGCACGAAGAAGAGGAAGCACTCACAGGACACCTCCCAAGTCAAATGTGAGCCTGGTAGGTTTTTAAGTTAACGTATATTAGGTTCAAGACTACTTATTGGTATCTCTGTGTTTTATGATGAAGATAGATATCCTTTTCTTAAATATTAGCTATTAGAATTGCTGACTATTATTGTGAGTATTTCAAAAAAGAGGAGAACTCCTTTCGCCTCTGCTTCTGTGTCAGTCATTCGTTTTTATTTTTTTGCCAAATTAGTTCGGTTGAATTTATATAAAAAATGACATCGGTAAACGGGCCGACAGATCACCTGACGGTAAGCTATCGGGGCCGTCTGTAAACACTCCCAACACCTAAAGGCTTTTAGAATTACAAGTGCGTTGACGTTTTTGGAATCGGGCTTTTAATGCAAAAATAACTCATCAGTGAAAAATATTTTTATGGAGTTCTTGACAAAACGCGATATAGCATGTCAAACATTTTTGAGGGGAGAGAAGAGAAGAGAGCGTTCTTGACTTCTCTTGCCCTAGGTGAGGTGAGAGGGAGTGTCAGACTTTTACTTATTGGGCTTGTCCCGCAACTCCAGCCGAACATCGACCCTGTTGCGCCATTATGGTATATCATTTGTATCGTAATATTTACCAACATTTTCGTCTCCAGCGGCTCTGTCCCCAGAAAGCGTAACCCACGTGCCACGGCCAGCGCCTCCATCAGTAGATGGCTCTGAAGCTGGTGACGACGCTCCTCTTCAGTGCATCAGATTCGGACCCTTCCAGCAGAACGTTTGGCATTCGCTATATGACTGCAATTTGAAGCCACTGTGAGTACTCCAGAAATTCATATATGTAGCTTATTATTATCATGCTGTTGATGTCGTGGTGGCCCGGATGATAAGGCGCCCGCTTCTCGTATGACGGGTTGAAGTAAAGCAAGGCCTGGCAAGTACCAATGTGACTTTTTCTGGGTTCTATGTACTTTCAATGATTATTTAGACACATCGTGATAAAACCTGGACTTAATTAATTATAAGTTTGGAATCGCCAACCCACCGTGAGCAAGCGTGGTCATTACTGCTCATACCTCTCTATATAAGAAGAGGCCTATGCTCAGCAGTGGACACTTATAGGCTGATGATGATGATATTGTTGAAGTAGTCTTAACGAGTGCGTTGCCGGTCTTCTTTCCCTTTCCCTTTCTTTCCCTTTCTTGCCGGTTTTCTTCGGATTAATGGGGATTGTTTTATCGTCAATCATATATTTATTGCGACGCCACACTTTGTTTTATAGCTGTTTGTCGAGACAACTCGAATAGAATCGAACCACGTCTGAGCTGATATTCGTATATAGGATTGCAGCTCACGACGCGGCAAACATTGCGCAACCAACAGCTAATCTATTTTTTTCTTCTCTTCCTTCACAGCCAACCCCCATCCTACGTGGTAGGCGCGGACAAAGGCTTCAACTACTCCCAAATAGATGAGGCCTTCGTCTGCCAGAAGAAAAACCACTTCCAGGTGACCTGCCAGATACAGATGCAAGGAGACCCTCATTATGTGAAGACTGGTGAAGGATTTAAGAAGATCAGCAATTTCTGCTTGCATTTCTACGGTGTTAAGGTGAGGAAATGTTTGTAAGGAGTTTTTTGCGATGTGTAGATGGCGTTGGTGTCGTTTAAGGTCTTTCTTGTGTGTTTATAAGCCATTGCGCCGTCGCATGTGAACATTGAATCATGCTATAAGGTTTTTTCGTGTAACGTTTGCCGCGCTCGACGCGACGCGGTATAAAATATAATAGAATATAATAGGTTATATGAAATATTTGTTATATTTACCTATTAGTTAAATCCGTACCATTATATCTATGGACGGAAGGATAGCGGAGACTTAGTAAGTAATAGGGTATATGTGTAGGTAGTGGAGATGTACCCATAAAAATGAGACGATTAATAACAAATTTTATGTATACTTCGATTGTGTTCTATTGCTATAGGCTGTTTTTGCTTGCGGGCGAAGTCGCGGAAGCTAGTTAGTTAAATAAGAATAAAAATATGTTATTTAAAATTGTAGGAAATAATTGAGAAAGAGTTTAACAACGTTTAATGCACGGTAAAGATTTTACAGAACAAAATATGTAAATGGAGCACACAAGCGCCACACGTTAATATATGGAATTAAAAGTTACTTTTAGAAACATACGTGAATAGTAACTAAATGATATTGGAACCATATTTTAAATATCATATTTATTTTCAGGCTGAAGATCCCAGTCAGGAAGTGAGAATTGAACAAAGTCAATCGGATAGAACAAAGAAACCTTTCCATCCTGTGCCGTAAGTTTTATGAAATATGCCTTTTAAGCAGACTGATTACCTGTTTTTTTTTTATGTAATAAGTCGGCAAACGAGCTAACGGATTACCTGATGGTAAGCAATCAGCGCCGCCCATGCACACCCGCAACGGAGGAGTTACGAGTGCGTTGCCGACCTTTTAGGGATTTGGAGATTTAGGGATTGGGGAAGGGTCCGGGAAGGGGAAGTATTGGGCCTCCGGTAACCTCACTCACACACTGATGGCAAGCTATCGGCGCCTCCCATTATCAACCGCAACATCAAAGAGCTATACATGCTAAGCCAACCCTTTAGAGGTTACAGTTTTGAGGATTAGGGTGTTTAAGATTTAAAGATGAAGGAGGAGGTGAAGTCTTATACTTCACCTCCGGTAACTCCACAATGGTTATCGAGCTCGCTTCTCATGCATGAGGGTGTGGGTTCGAAACCTGGCAAGTACAAATGTGACTTTTTCCGAGTTATATGTACTTTCTATGAGTATTTAGACACCATTGACGTACGGTGACGGTAAACATCGTGAGGAAACCTGGACTTACAATTTGAAATAAGTTTGAAATCGCCAACCCGCATTTAACAAGCGTGGTGATTAATGCTCTAAGCTTCTCCGTATGAGAAAAGGCCTTTGCTCAGCTGTGGGCACTTATAGGCTGATGATGATGAACTCCACACACGTTTTTACCAACCAGTTTCTTGTGAAGCCGTGGTATCACTCTAGTCGAGCCGTCCCATTCGTGTCCAAGCATGGCTCTCCCACAATTTATAGTCGCTGCGTGCTTAATTGTAGTGCAAAGTAATCTGTGCTTTACACTTTGGAGATAAGGTTGAACTTCTCAAGTGAATGATTTTCGCATGGATGCACAGGGACTTTGCCTCATTTATACGAAGAACTGGATTAGTTAGGTTTAAAACAACAGCCGACCAAAATTCAACTCTATCCCCCACAATTACAGAGTCGAAATTCGTCGTGAAGGCGCCAAAGTGACGGTGGGGCGCCTCCATTTTGCGGAGACCACAAATAATAATATGAGGAAGAAAGGCAGGCCTAACCCTGACCAGCGGCACTTCCAACTGGTGGTAGCCCTCCGAGCTCATGTCGGACATAATGACTTCATCATTGCTGCGTCAGCCAGCGACAGGATTATTGTTAGGGTAAGTTTAGTGTAAAAGTACACTAACTAGTTTTCACCACCCTCTCTCTTCCCGTGGGTATCGCATACCCATAACTATTTTTAATATCATAGTTATGCTAACGAGCTTTCGGATTACCTGATGGTAAGCATCAGCATCGCCCATGGACACAACAACAAAGAAAGAGTTATGAGTGCGTTGCCGAGCTTTTAGGGATTAGGGTTTTGGGGATTTAGGGATTGGAGGAGGGAAAGGATAAGGCCTCCGGTAACCTCACTGACACGGCGCAACACAACGCTGTGGTTGTTTCACGCCGGTTTTCTGTGAGGCCGTGGTATCACTGCGGTCGAGCCGACCCATTCGTGCCGAACCTTGGCTCTCCCACACTCTTCAACAATCAATAAGTAGTATGTTAAAAAAATAAATGATTTGTGATAATAGTTAGTGATCGCCTCAAATTTTATTTTTATTCTTAAGTTTTTTTATTCATTAAGAATCCGATACTCCCTTGGGCGAGAAAAGTAATTATATGATTTTTCCCCTCACATGTTCACTGATATTTCTAAAAATACTTAATCCTTTTTCACCATACAGGCATCAAACCCGGGTCAGTTCGAGTCGGACTGCACCGAGAGCTGGTGGCAGCGAGGAGTGTCAGATAACAGCGTCCACTTCACAGGCAGAGTCGGTATCAATACTGATAGGCCGGACGAATCTTGTGTAGTTAATGGTATGTTATTTTTTCTTGTTAATTTATATATTTATACCGCGTACATCGAGGAATTGGAACAGTTTGCCGGCTGCAGTCTTTCCATCCAAATATAATTTAGGTGTCTTCAAGACTAGAGTGAATAGGCTCTTAATAAACTAGTGCGCCTTACCATCAACGATTGCATCACTGCTTACCATCAGGTGGGATCGCAGTCAAGCACTAGTTTATAGCAAGTAAAAAAAATTTTTTTTGTAGCTTTTACCCGCGACTTCCTTTGCGTAGAATAGTGACTTCCTGCAGATTTTTGTTATAAAAAGCATCCTATGTCCTTTCTCGAGTTCCAAACTATGTCTATATCAAAATTTCACAGAAATCGGTTCAGTAGTCGTAAAGAAAAGACCGACAGACAGACAGAGTTACTTTCAATATTAAATTATGATTTTACAATATTACATTTCATAGATAGTATAGGGTATATATATTAGTATAGATAATACATCGTGAGACCAGGGATGGTAGGGAGCTCCGTAACTGTAACCGAATCCGAAATAAAAGTTCCGGGTAATATCGGATAGGGGCGGAGCCTAATTAAGACACGTCATGCTTGTATTTTACTTTTGAATACCCTTAAAATGTTAGAATCCTTAACGGAAATTATCCGAAGCTAACAGATAATCGCATGCAGTATAATAATCATTCTTATATCTGTATCCGAAATTTCATATCGATAACATCCCTACGTGAAATTTATTGAAAAATCAAGGTTTCACCCGCTGCTCGGCTCCTATAGATAGTAGAGTCATGTTTAATAGTCTATAGCACTCAGGAACATTGTACCTATCTACCACTAAAATGGGAATAAGACTACTTTTTATCATCATACCACGCTAACATAAATATTGTTTTCCCAGGTAACTTAAAAGTTATGGGACATATACTCCACCCGTCGGATGCGCGCGCCAAGCACAACATACAAGAATTAGACACTGCACAGCAACTGAAGAACGTACAGAATATTAGAGTTGTCAAGTAAGTCAATAACTTTTGTTATTATTATTTTTGAGGGAGGAGGAATCATCTCCTTATTTCTCCCGCCTTAGACGGTGCTATAGACAGTGTCAATGTCATACTGACGTAAAACATCTAGCCCTGGTTTCCGAAACGCCGATCAATGTTAAAATCAATTTAATCTCTTGTCAAGTCATCTGATTGGTTGACTGAATTATCAACAACCAATCAGATGACTTGACAAGAGATTTAACAGGAGATTAGTTAATTTTAGCGTTGACAAGCCTTTCAGAAACCGGGTGCTAGTTTCTTAAATAGTTTTTTGGTACATACTTTAACTTTAAAGTATGAAGTAATAAATTTAAATTAACCGTTTTAAACGGATTGAAAACTGTTCTGACACCTTATTGGTTTATTTATTGTTTCAAAATAAAGTTCAAATTATGCTACGCTCATATTTGCCATTCTTGTATACGCAATAAACTCACAAAATACTGCACAGATTTTTATCTGATTTTCATCCATCTATAGATAGGTTTTGGATAGAATCGGAAAGCATCAACTATGTCATATATTTTTTATAATTATTAATTACTAGCCACTCCCGCGCAGTTTCACTCGCTGCTCGGTTCCTTTTGATTGTAGCGTGATGTTTTATTGCCTATAGCACTCGGGAACATTGTAGCTATAAATAAGTGAAAGAATTTTGGAAATCCGACCAGTGGTTCCAACGATTACCTCCTACATACAAACTTACAAATTTTACCTCTTTATAATTAGTATATATATTTTCTTTAACGTGTATCTATCAATTAATAATAAAACTTTATATATTTTTTTTTCATAATGTAAGTAAACTGTTTTCTGTTTCTGTGCATTACTTTTTGCATGTTTTTAATATTAGCTTAAATTTAAAACATGTGTGGTATAACCCGTAAATGTAAGTTGGTGTATAAATAAATATATAAAACATATGTTATTATATATAATTCTTTCATCACCCAGGTTCAACTACGACCCATCATTCGCGGAGCACTCGGGCCTTTTAGGTTATGACCCCACTCGGCCGACACCCCAACTGGATACGGGGGTCATTGCGCAGGAGGTCCGGCGCGTCATACCCGAGGCGGTTAAAGAAGCCGGCGACGTCACACTGCCCAATGGGGATACAATACCGAAGTTTTTGGTGGTTAATAAGGTGAGAATGTTTTTTTTTTTTTTTTGAAAGACTATTAAATTCTCGTGTCTCGTGGGTGCAGTTACAAACTTACAATTTCACATACACATCACACCCAGATCCGGAACAACAATTTGTGGATCACACAAAGAGTTGTTCCGTGCGGGAATCGTACCCGCGCGACGTTGCACGGCAGCCACCGCACTAACCGTGCAGTCAATAAACTAATAAACTAGTAGTCCAGAATTGGGGTTAGGATCTGGACATACTTAGTAGTATTTTATAGTAGTTTGAAATAACCTCAAAAGTGGTGCTAAAGAGCCAATAGACCACCACAGACGGTGCCCTATAGGGCTGATGTTCAGCCGGAGTTGCGGGGTAAGCGCAATGAAGCACTGCGACCTCGGCCCCGTAACGGAAACTATCGGATATCCGATATCAAAATATCCGTAACCGTAACCGAATCCGAAATAAAAGTTTCGGATAATATCGGATAGGGACGGAGTCTAATTGAGATATGTTATATTTGTAATTTATTTTTGGAATTCCTTAAAATTTTAATATCCGTAACGGAAATTATCCGAATGTAACGGATAATCCGAAATAATTTAATATCTGTATCCGTAACCGAAATTTCATATCCATAACATCCCTAGTTTTTAGTCAGTAAGAGTATGACACTGCCCTCGTCTTCACCCTGGGCGAGAGAAATTATTTGATGATTTTCCCATCACAAGAAAAGACTCTATTTTTCAAAAATCACTTATTCCTTAATTTTTTTGACCTCTTTGTTGGGAACCTGGACTCCATACTAGATGACTAACAACTGACAAGCACTGAACTTAAACATTTTTACCCAGGATCGCATCTTCATGGAGAATCTAGGTGCCGTTAAAGAGCTGTGCAAGGTGACTGGCAATCTGGAGTCGAGGATCGATCAACTGGAGAGGATGAACAAAAAACTCTGCAAGATCAGCATACTGCAGCGGAGAGACAGTTCTAGGTCCAGTATCAGTAATGGTAAGTGGGATATTTCGGCCTAATTCTAATAAAAAAAGCTGATAAGTGTGGGAGAGCCATGCTTCGGCACGAATGGGTCGGCTCGACCGCAGTGAGACCACGGCCTCACAGAAACCGGCGTGAAACAACCACAGCGCCGTATGAGTGAGGTTACCGGAGGCCCAATCCATACGTAGTGTAGGGTGCCCTCCAGCTAGGTGGACTGACGATATCCGCAGACTGGCAGTGGTCGGATGAGAAGAGCTGAACATCGAGTTCAGTGGCGTGCTATTGGGGACGTCTACGTCGTCTAGCAGTGGACGATACCAGGCTGATGATGATGAGGTTATTAATAAAGTTAACTCTCTTTCAGATTGACACTAGGCTAATGATGATGATGATCAAGTCATTAAGTTTTTTTTTTTATTTAATTGGTTGGCAAACGAGCAGACGGATTACCTGATGGTAAGCAATCAGCGCCGCCCATGGACACTCGCAACGGAGGAGTTACGAGTGCGTTGCCGACCTTTTAGGGATTAGGGATTTGGAGATTTAGGGATTTAGGAGGAATTGGGGGAGGGGAAGGATTGGGCCTCCGGTAACCTCACTCACACGGCGAAACACAACGCTGTGGTTATTTCACGCCGGATTTTCTGTGAGGCCGTGGTATCACTCCGGTCGAGCCGACCCATTCGTGCCGAAGCATGGCTCTCCCACACTTATATTAAGTCATTAATCAAATTAATTCTCTTTCAGACTCCCGATTCTCAGCTATGTCAAACTCATCGAAATCTCTATACAGTGATGGTAACATATCCATAGATCAAATAAGGGATATCGCACGCAATATAAGGAAACACGAGTGTTGCCACAAATTAAGTCACAATTCTCCCAAATACACTCGAAAACAGTGCAAAAATTGCCACGGAAACTACTCAAAATATGGGAAATATTACAATTACAACAAAACTTGTGTGCGATACCATTCAAATAAAATGGAAAAATGCGAAAATGTTGAAAATCCGACTTACACAGACTCGAATATACAGAAATATCCCGACGACAGTTATAACAGTTCGATGGCAAAGAAAAAGGATACTTGTCTATGGTTGAAGAGCGACGATAATTTTTCGTATAGCAACACTAAGCTTGGGTTTTGTTGCCGAAAAGAGTATGGGGATACCAGCAGTGAATTGATATCGAATAAGTTTCTGCAGATTGTTATAACTATATTGATTTTCATTATGGCTGTTTGGTAAGTATATTTTTTGTTAATACAGCAGTTCTAACCACCTTTCCTTCAGGCTGTAAGCTGAACGAAATTTAGCCATTCAATCAAATTCAACTTTTTGGCTCCGATATAACTAACAAATTTAAATTCTATTTCAGCTTAGTAGTAATGTCAGCTTTGTACTTCCGAGAGCACCAAGAACTAATATCAATGAAGGAGATCCGTCTCCATGACAAACTCCACTACCCACACTATGGCAAGCTGAACAACGAACCACACAGTCACAGGGCGCCGCCGGACTTGAACCAGATACAGGTCAGTTATTAAGCTAGGAACAGGCTATGTAGTTTTATCGACCCAAACACATTGCTTTGGTCGTATATTTTCACTTCTACACGTAGTTCGAGCGTGTACCATATCAATAGATGGCGCATACATCGCGCTAGATATTGTCAAATTTAAGGGCACCATGAGATTTTATTGATTGTGATGATAGAAATCAATCTCCACGACAAGTTGAACAACGAAAGGCACAGGCTCTAAGATAGGCTGCGTAGTTAAGCAGTATGTTTTTTTATATGTCGCATCCAGCATCAGTCGTAGTGCAATGAGGCACCGCGACCTCGGCCCAGAGCAGGAGAAGGAACAGGGGGGTTTTTAGTCAGTAAGAGTCTGACACTCCCTCCCGCCCGGCCCTGGGCGGGAGAAGTCATTTGACGATTATCCCCTCACAAAATTAAAAAAAAGCATCAGTCGTAGTTTCACACTATTTCAATAAAGAACATGTGTTACTAAAAAACTAAAGATCCAAAGATCGATCATCTATGAGAATAGCTACAAACTACTAACAGTAGGCCTACCATTACGAGTTAAAGCGTCAATCTTCCGGGCGAGAAAGAGGGATGGGGCTATAAAAGGTGTATAGCTCTATCCCTCTTTCTCGTCCGGAAGATTGCCGCTTTAACTGTTTCTAAAAAATCAACCACATAACATGATATGGCGTTGCTAGTCCTACAAGTACTAGTTGTTACTACAACTTTATAACGTTCTATAAATCGTTAAAAGTCTCTAGAATAGCCATACTTAAATGATAAATTATCTGGTATATCTTTTGTTACAGAATTTAAAAGCATCTCAACATACGGCATCTAAAAAAACTGCTAAAGGTAAGATTAACAATTAATTTATCTATGTAAAAACTGTTTACACATCGATCACTAATATTACTATACCACATTTTTTTCATAAAACTACTTTTACTTTGTCAAAACAAAAATGGTTATCTCGTTACGATTAATAGATCATTACGTTATACTCTTTCAAAGTTTTCGGAATAGCTTTACTAGTTTCAAATGATACCGGGACTCATAATCATATTATTGAATAGTTTGTGAACCAATATCTTGACTACTTCCTCATCAAATTAATTGATATGTTTAACAATTAATTTATATACAATTGTATAGTTATTAAACAAAGATTAATGTTTTATTACTTCCGTATTATTTTTACAGAGAAAGGACCGCACAAAACGACACAAGAATACGTGACTACAGCGCCGACGGAATCACCGCACACTATATCCACCAGTTCTCATCCCACTAAAACCTATGACAGTAATTTTATAAGTAAGTCACTTTCATATTTATAAAATTTTCAGTTAGTAAAAAAATTTTAATTTTACAATTCATTCTCAAAACTCTTTAACGAGATACCTCGACAAGTTTCAAGCTACTCTAGGGCTCGTGTTTAAAAAACAATTGACGTGATCATGTCACAAATCCTACATCACGCAATTGAAGCGTGCCGCGATTAAATACAGCTATTGGGCAGTAACCCACTAGGCATGCCCACTTCGCCTAGTCGGAGGATTCTCCCTTACTAGAGGGCTATACTCCTTTTATAGCTCCATCCCTCTTTCTCGCCGGGAGGACGCACGCTTTAACACGTAACGGTTGGCCCTCAGATCTTAGGGAACAACGTTTACTATAAATCTAATAAAAAAGTAAACTATCAAGTCCCCGGGACTTATTAAACCACGTGATAAAATCTTTTTTCAATATTTTTTTTTCAATTAGAACTTTTTTCCCTACCCATGTGAAAACCGTCTGCCAGATGATGGGAAAACACTAGGCTACATCATAATGCGCGCGCTTTAAGGAGCCAATAGACCATCACAGGCAGGGCCCTATAGGGCTGATGTTCAGTCAGGGTTGCGGGGTAAGCGCAATGAGGCACCGCGACCTCGGCCTAGAGCAAGAGCAGGAACAGGGGAGTTTTTAGTCAGTAAGAGTCTGACACTCCCTCCCGCTCGGTTCTGGGCGGGAGAAGTCATTTGATGATTTTCCCCTTACAAAAGAAAAACACGTCACGGTAGTCCTACAGTTATTAGTTTAAAGTGCAAACCAAGAGACCAAAGCGACGATTATTACGTGTTATCAGATCATTAATAATGACTTAACTTCACAATATCATTGCTATCATCTTATATTTTATATATGGAGAAGGAACAGGGCGGTTTTTAGTCAGTAAGAGTCTGACACTCTCTTGCCTTACCCCTGGGCGGGAGAAGTCATTTGATGATTATCTCTGTCAGTAAAAAAGGCTACATCATAATATGTGCTTTGAAACTCCACAGACACAGTACCGACTCTACAATCTCTGCAACTACAGAACGAGAGACCAATATCATTGTCGCGAAGAGCTGACGTCATCGGTGGCGGATGTCTGTTCACTTCCAATACTAACAACGAACTGGATCCTGAATGCCAGGTATATTTTTGTGCTATTTGTTAGAAAAAACTATATATAAAGAAAATGAAAATGGCAATAAGATTTTTTTTAATGAACAATAGAAAAAGTAATTTAATCATAAAAAGAATGGGCTACTTTTTATATAAAAAAAAGAATGAGCAAGTTTTTAAAATAAAAAAGAATGAGCTATTCTTTTCAATAAAAAACGGCATTTTTAAAAAAAAAAGTATGAGCTACTTTTTAAAATAAAAAAGAATGAGCTACTCTTTTCAATAAAAAATATGAGCAACTTTTTTATCATAAAAAGAATGTTCTCCTTTTTATATAAAAATAAAGAATGAGCAAGTCTTTAAAATAAAAAAGAATGTGCTACTCTTTACAATAAAAAAAAGAAAACAGCATTTTTTTATTCAAAAAAAGTATGAGCAAGTTTTTAATAAAAAAAGAATGAACAACTTTTCTTAACATAAACAGAATATGCTTCTTTTTTATCATAAAAAATGTGCTACTTTTTGTATTAAAATAAAGAATGAGCAACTTATAAGCTAAAAAAAGAGTGAGCTACTTTTTAAAAGGTTTGTGGCATATTTTGCATGGATTAAGATAATTAAGAGAATATTTTATTGTGATAGTAATATTAACTTTACTGTAATTGAAAAATTATTTGCATGCTGCTTCAGAAGGATTTAATAAAATTGTCTTCTTGGATTCAAACCGTTTTGGTAAGAACTTCTTAGAATTAAGATATTTAATTATACCTTTTTGTTTTCTTAAAATTATTTTCTGTATAGATTATACTTATAAATACGTACCTACCAATAGTTTTTCTATAAAAAAATAATAATGTTATAATAGGCATTGCATACAGGGATAATAGCCGGCTGATGTCCCATCACATTTAGATTAAAACTGTTCAACGGGCCTCTGCGAGTTGGCTTCGGCTCCTCGTACGCCTTCCAAAGATCCGGGATCCTGTGATCCCGTGAAAGGAAAGAATAACAAAGAAAATAATAATGTCTATGGTATTATTCAAAGAATCGCTATTTCAAAACAAACAAACATTCGAAGTACAATACAGAAATAAAAAAAAAAAACAGAAAAAATGCTTTATAACTAATGAAAACAGTTATAAGAATATTCATAACTACTCGTTTAAGAGACACTATTCTTGCGTCACGCAACTTTAGCTACAATAATCTGTGCCATAAGTGTTACATTTCTACAACAATGACATTGTCCCATACAACATTATAATATAAAAAAAACACTCACAAACCTCTCGCTTATTTACAGTCGCCCTGCGGTCTCGAACCCCCTCAAACTTACGATAACCAAGAACCGTTGGAAAGAAAACCGGAAAAAGAACTGAACGATACATTCGCAAGACCCTTAGAACCTCTTTCCAGGGAGAAACTCCCGAGCATGCCTGGAGTAATCCCGGAGAAAAACACAACGGAATCGTTAAAAACCGAACCAGAGTCTCTGAGGAATGAAAACGATTCTTTCAAGAAAGTCGAGAACCTTCGAGAGGAGATCATAGCCAATTCCCTGGATGGAAGCAAGCAGAATGTCACGGAAATCGTCAGCAGAATGAAGAGGGAGACCAGAGAGGAACTTAAGAGCAGTTCTGAGGAGATGATCCTTAGTGAACAGTCGCATGAGAACTCTGGACCTCATGGTAAGTTGAAATACATTTTATTTATTAGTACCTAGCGACCCGCCCCGGCTTCGCACGGGTCATTATAATCATCAGCCTATAAGTGCCCACTGCTAAACAAAGGCCTCTTCTGATACGAAGAAGGTTAGAGCATTAATCACCACGCTTGCTCAATGTGAGTTGGCGATTTCAAACTTATAATTAGAAATTATAAGTCCAGCTTTCCTAACGATGTTTTCCTTCACCGTATGTCAGTGGTGTCTAAATAATCGTAGAAAGTACATATAACTAGGAAAAAATTACATTGGTGCTTGCCAGGTTTCGAACCCACACCCTCATCAGGAGAAGCGGGCTCCTTTACCTCCGGGCCACCACGACAATTTTTGGTGCGGGTGCAATGCTGATTCTAAATTTCTCTACTATTTAATGGATGTTATTATACATAAAAATATACACTCTTCAATTAATATACTTGTAAAAAAACTGCATCAAAATCCGTTGCGTAGTTTTAAAGATTTAAACATACATAGGATACACATTTAAAAACACGTGGCATCACTAGGCCCTATCAGAATACCAGCGCTGCGGTATTTTTACCTTTACCTACTGGTGAATTATCGCAGCATATGCTGAGATAGTAACCTTTTGGACCTCGCACAGGTCTTTTATTTTATTTTTAATATTTTTTGTTGTTGTTGTTTTGTTTATTTTTTCTTTTTGTATATTTATTTTCTGTGCGAGTCTCAAATAAATGTTTTTCTTTCTTTCTTTCTTTTTTTCTTTATACACAGGATATCGGGACAGAGAAAGCAACTTTGTTTTGTACTATGTAGTGATTTAATTTTTTAACTGGTCGCTGGACGGGTCGGTATGAAATTTGGTACAAGCACAGCATACAATCCGGAATAGGACATCTTATTATTTTTGTTTCGTAACTCAATCACTCAAAAACGCCTGAATGGATTTGGATGAAATTTTGCATTGAGATAGCAATTACATGCGGGCGAAGCCGCGGACAAAAGCTAGTTGTATTATTATATTATTCTGTTTTTAAATGAGGTTTCTCAAAAAGAACTTCTAAACTGTTATTTACAATGTAATGTCCTCTTTCAGAATGCGACACAGTCCGCGTAGGTATATCGAGTAAATCAATAATCAACTCTTCGTTGTTCAGCGAGTACGTCTGCGGTAACAACATATACAATTACTCTTATACCGTCCCGCTGTCACACTGTCTCAGTCACAAACACGTGGATTTGACGTTCAGGTATATATAATAATATATTCTTTATATTTATTAATTACTAGCTACTCTCGCGCGTTTTCACCCACTGCTCAGCTCCATTTGATCGTAGCGTGATGTTTTATAGCCTATAGCACGCAGGAGCATTGTAGCTATCTATCAGTGAAAGAATTTCGGCAATCCGACCAGCGGTTTCAAAGATTATCCCCTACATACAAACTTACTTTTACCTCTTTATAATATTAGTATAAAAGTGTCTATCATTATTATTATTTTACCAATCACGGGACCACAGCGTCCCAGTTATTTGGAAGGCGTACGAGGGGCCGGAGCCAAATGCGCAGAGGCCCTTTAGACAACTTTAATCGAAATGAAATGGGACACAAACAGGCGACTGTCCCTGTATGCACTATGGAAATGCTCCCACGGACAGTCCCCGGATAGTGTAGGGCTATTGCGGATAATGGAAACAAGGGATAAGGCTATGTGTATGGGTTGTTATGGACTGGTATGATAGGAACTTTGGAAGGCCTATGGCATCCGCCGAAACAATGTAATTTATACACGTAAAAATGCCAGATATGTCATAATTTGGTAGACGGATTACCTGATGGTAAGCAATCGTCGTCGCCCATGGACACTCGCAATACCAAAGAAGTTATACCAGTGTGCCGCTGGCCTCTTGTCAGTACTCTTTGAGGAGTGACTTGAGAAAGGTCACAGCGTCCTCACCTTCACCACCTCGGCCAATAGACCACCACAGATGGGGCCCTATAGGGCTAATGTTCAGCCGGGGTTGCGTTGATAGCGCAATAAGGCATTGCGGCCTCGGCCGTTTAGTCAGTAAGAATCTGACACTCCCTCTCTTTCGTCTAAATTTAACTGACATTCACTCCAAGTTAAAAAAAAGTGCATATTTGAGTACCACCTCAACCTACCCAATTTTGCAGGTCGTCAAAAATCAAGGAATATCGTATATGCGATGTGAAATGCAACTACGATTCCTCTAAATCCTGTTCATCAACCAAGGACCCTCAGAAGCCACCGGCTACAGAAGACACCTGGAGTATCAAGATGGCGCTGGAGTGTAATGTGGACCGTATGCTGAAGATCAGAGCCAGTTTCTCCACCTCTAGGATGCGGTTTCCAAATAAGGTAAAACCATTTTTTTAATTGTCATTTGTAGTAAGTATATTCAGACTGCATGGCATCCGCGCAACGTGTCGCGAGCTCGATTCCCGCACGGAACAACTCTATCGTTTGACATATGTAATTGTTATTCCGGGTCGGGTAGTGATGTGTACGTGAATGTATATGATTGTAAACGCACTGGAGCAAGTCCTAGTGCGGAAAATATTTTTTCTATTCAAAAACAAAAACGCCTGACTGCATAGTTGCAGCAGTGGCTATGCAACTGGCTGCTCAGCAACTTACAGCGGGTTCGATTCCCGCACATAAATTCTTTATGTCACCATTAGGCAAAAACGTTGCCTTTTTAAAAGAAAAACAAATTGGCTTCTTGGCACACGTTGAACGCCACTTATAATTTCCAATTATAAGTTTGAAATCGCCAATCCGCCTTGAGCAAGCGTAGTGATTAATGCTCAAACCTTATCCGTGTGAGAAGAGGCCTTTGCTCAGCAGTGGGCACTTATAGGCTGATGATGATGATGACCATATGGGCCACACTATCTGAGGAATTGTCCTTAACAGTAATAATATGTCGGCAGTCAATGTATTACTATTATTTATAACAACTATAGCAGCTCACACATAGATCCCATTAAAATAACAATACAAAATTTTCCGTCTTGTTTGGTGACTGGGCTTCTCCCAGTTGTACAGTCTCTTCTGTTCCTTTAAGGCCTAAGTCATTCTGTCTCCTGCATTAAATTTATTGAGGGAAGTGGAAACAGTTTCGTTTCTCTCTTCTCCTCAAATAATATCTTCTGATTTATTTCGTTACGGGATCCGTGACGGTCATTCATGTCCCTGGGACGCGCCGGACTTCTATGTTCGGTGTTTTCATGGTTATAGAATAGAATAGAATTCATTTATTTGCATTTATGGTTGTATCTACTGTAGATCCTAGCTTACAGGAGTTGCAGCGGTTTTGGAAGGTTGCGGCGGACTTTTCCCAATAGAAAAAAGTCAATGCATTAAAAACTTTTTTTTAATATTATTTTTCTATTCCAGGAATTGTGCTACTTGACACCAGAACATAAATATCCATTCATAGAATACAATATTCGTATACACAGCGATTGTCATAATTAACGTCACATTTATATAATTATTATTAATATTTTATATATTATAAGTCAGTTTTAAATTATAAGTTATAAGTTAGACTTTATTGGTAAACTGTTTTACAACTTATAATTTATTTTTTTACAATAATTTTATTATTGCAGGAAAATAAAATAATGTTGTTTTTTTTATTAAAATAAAATTATTTTTTTATTTTATGTCTTGTCACAATAATTTACCGATAAAGTTTAATATTAATAACACTATTATTGTACTATTAATAATATGTATTATTAAGTATTTTAGTACTATTAATATGTGAACAGTAAAATAACGATAAATACATTCCATAAGTGCAATTACGTAATTTTATCCGTCCTATTATAAAAAAAATCATAGCCCATTTTATAGTAATATTTAGCTATACTTGGCTATAAAAAGTAGCCTTTAAAGAGACACGCTTGTTTTCATACCCCTGATTTGACATATTTAAGTTTCTAAAGTTTAATAAAATATGTAAAGAACTACATATTTCAAAGTGATGCATCAAGAAAAATAATATATTTGCTATTTGACGTAAAATTATTAAGGGATTCACAACGTGCTATTTCATAAAAATCAAAATAATTGTATACTTGACATTGCGTAAAAAGGTTTTTCTAACTGGTTGGAACCTATTCTATTGGTTGGAGAACGCTTTCAAAGCTGAAACCCTAATAATATATCACTAACCATTGGTATTTAACTTGATGTTATAAGCCATTTGATGTTTTACGAACCCGTAATGTAAAGCGTACAAACTCATACGTACGAAAACGTTGTTCCCGTGCTCGTAATATTTTCATTTAATTTCGGTGCTTTCAACCGTCACAATATTACTACAAAGCTCTCATTTTTGTGCATTTTTCACTGTTATCTGGTATGTAGTATCATTTGATGATTTTATCCTCAATTACTAAATAAATGTGGATCTTGTACTAAGGGTCAATTTTTCAATGGTTAAATAAAAGTTACCTGGGGAATTATTATGATGCTGTCGCGTCAGAATGTTTGCATAAGACAGTGACAGCAACAGTTTTATTCCTCAGATAACATTTATCTGACTATTGAAAAATCAGCCCTAAGAGAAATGATTTAATTACATGGCTTATTTTTTATTCAAATCCCATGTGAAGCAATTAATGCTAATAGAGTTTTGTTCTACTGGAATTATCATTGTTTATTTTGAGTTTGAAAATGTTGCAGTTTTTTTTTTATTATTATTATGTTGTATCGTAAGAAATTAATAGAGCTCAAAGTATAATAAATACAGCTTAAAAATAACCAGTGACAAAAGCAAATAATGACAAATTAAAAAATAAACTATTTTTATTAAATTATTTATTTTTTTAACAATTGTTGGTAAATATTTTTTCTATTAAAAGAATCAACTGCCTATCCCCAAAGGGATATTATAAATAAGTTACATTTTTTAGTTTTTTTAGCTTAGAAAGGAATTGGTTTTTATTTTCATTATATTTTTTTATAATTAATAAAAATAATATTTTTATACAATATTAACTAGAAATGGTGGTAGCTATTATTATTATTATTTTAAGTACATAGTAGGATCCATTTTTTTGTAATAAAAAACAGTTTGTTTTTTTTTGTAATTAGTATTTTTGCAGCTTTATTTTTAGAACTTTAGTTTGTATATTTTTATTTTTTTAGTAGTTCGTAATTTGTATCGTTTGAAATTATTTAAGTTTAATACTCATAAATATTGACATTATTTTTATTATTATTCTAAACTTTCGATGAGCCATATTTAGTATTTGATAATTATTTCATATTATTACTTGAAAAAAATAATTATATCATTTTTTATAAATTTGTAATAAAAAATATATTTTTTCAAATATACCTAGGTATTATATCTATACATTCCAAGCCAGTACTTAATTAGAATTTAAGTTTTTTTAAGAAAACATACATAAGATACATTTTTAAAATTACATCGCAATCTCAGTAAAAACATATAAAGAATCTCAGTTTGTTATGGCTTTAAAAAGTAATGAACTCAAATCTCTACATATCAAAAACTAAAAATATTCAAAAGAAAATAATTTAATTCAAAATTTATCCTAACTAAGCTAAGTTATTTGCTTTTTAAAATAAAAAGAAAATGGAAATTAATTCAGTAGGTACAGAGCTTTGTTCTTACTCCGTGGTACAGAGATAATAAAGAAGTTAGGTCTCTTTTCTTTTTTTATATTGGCACTGGAGAAGGCAGATATTCCATCATCAGCTCCCAAATGTCACGCCCAATGCTGACCTCGATCGTCGGACACGAGGAACCAATTATACCTAAAGAAAGATGTCTTTTTCCACCAGTGCTCAGCTCAGTAACTATAGCATGGACTGTCGTCAGCAGTATTTTCGAACCGATACGACCTTCAAACCCTCAATAGATGAGGATACTCCTTATTAAGACCAGCAACGCAATCGTGCCTTCTTTTACATTCGTAATTTTATTTTGAGGTGGATATTTCGTCAATTTTTTTTATTTCGAAATGGGCTGACATTTGACCTCTATCTCGGCTGATGGTAAACGATAATAGGACTTACGAAAATGACTTCTGAATGGCTAAAAACCACCCAGTTCCTGCTTCTGCTTAAATCGTTGCCCTTAACCCGCAATCATAGCTGAACCTCAGCCCTATTAGGCTACATCGGTGGTGGTCTCTTAGGCCTTCTTTGGCATTGTGAGTGTCCATGGGCGATACAACCTTACGGTACGGCCGTCTGCTCGTTTCCCTTATATTTACATAAAGAAACTCTGTACTGAATGAATGCTTATTTTTTTACCTAATAAATATATTGTTATTATAAAAAACACATACAATACATCACATATATTTATTAATTTTTCAATTATTATTATGTTATTCCAACAATAAAAATGAAAAAGCTAAATTCGAATCTCAATAATAAGTATTAGTAATTTGAACTAAAAAAATATTCACTTATCAGTGGTACAGAAGATTTTAATGTAGGAAATAGCCTAAAAATAAGCTTAAAAATAATCTAGGCTAGTTTATTTTCTTGCCATATTACTAGTAAAAGAAAAGCATCACATTTTATTTATATACCGAAAATTGGCTTCTCTTTCTGCAGAAATTATTTATGTAACAAAAACAATAATTTATTTCGCACCGCAATAAAATAATATTAAATTATTACTATTATTATTTGCATTAAAACGAATTTATCGAGAAAATTTTTCTATTAATTTTATTTTATTATACTATTACTTTGATTAAATAATAATAATGAATTTATTATATGTAAATTTTGTCGCGTTTTTTTATTATTTGTTAAAAGGATAAAGCGTTATTATTTAAGCACTATTACAATATGAATTTAAGCTTGAATAGTTTTGTTATTATTAAAATATAATATAATAAAGTATATGCGAATTATTTTTTCAAAATCGCATATCTGAAAATGGATTAGAAAATCTCATTTTTTAGTACCTAGTTTGATAAATTAAAGTACCTACCTAGTAATTTTATTTAGTCTTAGAAATATTTTTACACTTATTTAGTATAATAATTGCAGAAAAATTACTAATTTGAATAAAATAACATTATATTCTTAAATTTAAATTACAGACATTTATTTTGACTTACAATTAAATTAAAAATGGATTTGTTAATTCATTTTTATTTTTATATTTTCTGCATTATTTATACTAAATAAGTGTAAAAATATATAATTATGTATGTTTAGTCAGTAACCTAGTATTTATATTATTGTGTTATATTGTATCTTGTAATCTAGATTACAGGACTCTGCCTGTACCGCAAGTCCGAAACGTCGTAATTAAATAATATGTAGTTAAAATATAAGTTAAGAATCCACAAATTTGTATTCATAAGATACAAAATAAAATGTAGATGTTTATATTGGATCTTTTATTTTTATACTTACTAGTTTTTGCCCGCGACTCCGTTCGCGTGGAATAGTGACTTCCTGCACATTTTTGGTATAAAAAAACTATCCTATGTCCTTTCTCGAGTTCTTAACAGAATCGGTTCATTTATTTAGGCGTGAAGAAAAGACAGACAGACAGAGTTACTTTCGCATTTATAATATTAGTTTGGACTAGATACTCTCGCGCGGTTTCACCCGCTGCGCGCTGCTCGACTCCATTTGATCGTAGCGTGATGTTTTATAGCCTATGATTTTTCTTTAATTTTTTTTAAATCTTTATTTTATTAAACCCTTTTAAATTTTGACAATCCCTCAGAAATTTTGGCAATCCAACCAGCGGTTCCAAAGATTACCCCCTACATACAAACTTTCAATTTTTGTTTCTTTATAATATTAGTATAGAAGTATAGATAAATATGTCTGATTGCCAACATTTAAATGGAAAATCACTTACAGTATGAGACAAAGAGAGCAAGTAACATAACTAAGTAATTATTCAATAGGTATATAACAAACATACAATGTGAAGATATCACAGCACTTCAAGCTATCCCAAACTGACAAGTTTCCTCCATATATTTTGAACCTTATTTCTTTACGTATCAAGTTGGATTTAGCTTAACAGTTTAGAATAGGTTGATCTGCCGTCTATGCTTGTAGAGCGTAAAAAATGTACTTATCTACTATTGCTCGCGAGTTCGTCCGCGTCTTGGAGAGTCTTTCGAGTCCATTATGCTGGAGATGTATTAGGAAGAAAATTATATGTTACTTTCTTAAAAATAATCTTTCTAATAGTGAAATAATTTTGAGCAGGTAAGTCTAGTAGTTTCGGGCGAATAATAATTGAAATGTCTTCTCAGGTGTAGTTTATTATACGGAAAAATGTAAAACAAAATTTCGTGCGTTTAGGCGTTTTTGCCATACCTATTACTGGAAACAAATTCAGTAGCTCACACGTAGGTCCCAATACAATATTTTCCCCAGTTGTACAGTCTCTTTGGTGCCTTAAAACCTTAAGTAACTCTGTTTCCTACATAAAAATTACAAAAGAAATTGGAAACTATTTCGTTTTTTTTCTTCTCCTCAAATAATAACTTCTGATTTATTACGTTGCGGTGTCCAAGACAATCATTCATGTCCCTGGAATGCGCTGGACTTCAGTGTCCCGGTGTTTTCATGGTTGTACCTACTCTAGATTTTGGCTTACAGGAGTTGCAGTGGTATTGGGAGGTTCAGGAAGGCTGGCGGACTTGTCCCATAAAAAAAAGTTTCGAGAGCATAAACCAACTGACAATAAAATATTTCTTCTTCGTAATATAAGTACTTACTTAGTGTATTTAATAAATAACATGACGGTAGTTAATGATAATTATGCATCTGTTCAACTGAGCGTGTTGCTGCGCATGCGTCGGTCGGAGAATAATAAAAGATTTTCTGTCTATACTCACGATTATGTTTTAACGGAATTAAAAAGTTTTGAATTTGACATACCGTGTGACGTCACGAATCTATATTTTAATACTGGTAACGTAGAGGCTTCCCACTCCTAAACTCAAATCCTTTTATATAAAAGTGCTGTTTTATATAAAAGCTTTTGATCGCGACTTCGTTCGAAGGGAATAGTGACATCCAGATTTTTGGTTTTACCCACATAGTTCCCGACCTCGCGGGATTTTCGTGGATATAAACTATCCTATGTCCTTTCTCGAGTTCCAAACTTTGTCCGTACCAATCACAGAAATCGGTTCAGTATTTTAAGCGTGAAGAAAAGACAGATAGACAGACAGAGTTACGTTTGCATTTATAAGTTTGGATAGTTTGGATTGTTTCTTTATACTTCGAAATAAAAAATACGTACCTAATGTACATATGTATTTTCATTATGTATCTAATTAAAGGACCTAATTAATTTGATTACCTAAGTACCCTTTTTTGAAAGGGGCAAATCAAATGACTTCTCCCCCCCTTTATCCTTAGAGGAAGTATTACAATCTTATTGATTAAAAATAACCCGTTTTTCCAGCTCCAGGTCGGCCGCTTTACCTTATTGTGAACCGCAACTCCGGTGATTTTAATACCCGATTTTGAGGGAGGAAATCATCTAATGATTTCTCCCACCCTAGGCTGGGCGAGTGGGAGTGTCAGACACTTATTAACATAAAACCATCCGTTGCTTATCCTGCTCCAGGCTGAGGCCATGGTACCTTATTGTATTTGCCCCGCTAGCCCAGTAATTTGAATACCCTTTTCATAAAGGGCGAGGGACATCATCAAATCCCTTCTCCCTCCCTGATCTGGGCGAGTGGGAGTGTCAGACTCTTACTGACTTATACCACACCGTTCCGTCTCCTGCTCCAGATTCTGCCGCCGCAGTATTGAGGGAATTATTGTCGGCAGCATAGGGGCCTAATGTAAATGAGGCATATGATAATAGCTCAAGCAATGAGAATGTATGCCAAAAAACCTGTAGGTATACAAACAATCATACTAAAAACCATAACATACAAATTTAATGATGACGAGATTTCATTGAACACATAATAACATTAACAAATGAATAAAACAAAAAAAAATCTATACTTACTTACTAATATTATAAAGAGCTAAAATTTGTAAGTTTATATGTAGGGGGTAATCTTTGGAACCGGTGGTCGGATTACCAAAATTCTTTCACTGATAGATAGCTACAATGTTCCTGAGTGCTATAGGCTATAAAACACGACGCTACGTTCCGTAGGAGCCGAGCAGCGGGTGAAACCGCGCGAGAGTAGCTAGTCTTTTATAAGTATGATGATAGCTTAAGTAGGTAATAGGAATATACGCCAAAAAACATACGAAGAATCATACTAACACCATTAACTACAAATTCAATGATGACAACATCTCATTCAACACAACACATGAATAAAACAAACAAAAAAAAAGTTTTATAAAAGTCATTGCTCTAATGATCATCATGATTGCGTGAATGACGATCATGATTTGACATTACTGCCTACAGATTATAATTCTGTTATACGATTGTCCAAAGAAACCGAAGAACCTTCGGCACGAATAAAGACGGGAAAAACATTTATTTGAGGCTCGCACAGAAAATAAATACAATTACATTTTATATATGTATACAAAAAAGAAATTAAAACAAAAAATATTAAAAAATAAAATAAAAGACCTGTGCGAGGTCAAAAAGGCCACTATCTCAGCATATGCTGCGATAATTCACCAGTAGGTAAAAATATTCTGATAGGGCCTGGTGATGCCACGGACACACTCACGGAACACAGAAACAGATTAACATATATAAATATATAGATATATATATAAAAGATAAACAATATTATATAATACTGAAGTGAATGGGCCGGCTAGAACGGAGTTATTTAAGAAATGGTTGCACCGTGCACGGTTGACGCGTTCATTAGACAAACGTGGGCTGTCACGCACAGTATCGCATGTTCTATTCCCCTGTGGAACTATTCTTTGGGTGATCCACAAATCGTTGTTCCGAGTCTGACTGTCATGTGTATGTGGAATAGTGTTTAAGGTAGGTACTGTTGTATCATCTCTAATTATTATAATCATACCAATTATTGAACCACTAGAACTGTCAATGTCATTGTCATATATCTATACTTTTATACTAATAGTATAAGTTAGCTAAGTTTGTATGTAGGGGGTAATCTTTGGAACCGCTGGTCGGATTGCCAAAATTCTTTCACTGATAGATAGCTACAATGTTCCTGAGTGCTATAGGCTATAAAACATCATATCATCATAGCTATCTAAGCTACAATGTTCCTTATTGCTATAGGATATAAACCATCACGCTACGATTAAATGGAACCGGGCAGCAGGTGAAACCACGCGAGATTAGCTAATACACAAATAAACAAGGAAATAACTGCTCGACTCTCGATTAAAAATATTTCGAAAATGGCTTTTTTACCTTTCTGATTAAGTTTTTAAACCTCTATTTATAATGTACTAGCTACTCTCGCGCGGTTTCACCTGCTGCTCAGCTTCTACAGATCGTAGCGTGACGTTTTATAGCCTATAGCACTCAGGAACTTTGTAGCTATCTATCAGTGAAAGAATTTTGGCAATCCGACCAGCGGTTCTAAAGATTACCTAGGTGGTAATCTATAATCATACAAACTTACAAATTATATAGGCACTTTATAATATTAGTATAGAAAATCGGTCCAGTAAACTTTCCTTAATTCACTTAAAAGTTTGTAGAATGAAAAATCCTTGTCTTAAACTGTCTTAACTTAAGAAACGAGCAATATAATATTCCGACATACACAAAGACTATATTTATTTATATACTTAGAATTGTGTAAAGTAAATGCTGTTTTAGTACCTACTTGCTAGAGGTTTCAACAGAATGCAAGAGCGTGAACAAACTCGAGACTATCCGACAACGACCGCCATTTTTATTTAAACCGCTAACTTGCCTTGGAAATATTACATTTTCACGTAAAGGTTCCGTATTTTGTTTTTTTGTAGCGTAAAAATCATTAAATGACGTCTTTCGGATGGATGAGGCGAGAGTGAGTGTCAGACTATTACTGACTTAAACCCGGTTCCACAAAAAAGGGGGGGTGTTATGAGTTTTTTTTTTTTGTATCGGGTTGGAAAATCCTCATGGAGACCCATCGCCCTCGGGGAAGGGCGAAGGGTACTGTCAGACTTACTAACTAAAAACCAACCCGGTGTTCCTTCACTTACTCATGTGTCGGAGGGGCGGGTATCGCCGAAGCCGACAGGTATTGGCCCGCCATATGGTTTGGCAAGCTACCCTTGCTTACCTAGAGTGTCGCTTACTGCGGCGGCTGGGGCGTATGGCGGTCACGTGGTCCGCCTCCTTCATTGCTAGCATCACTGCTTCACAGAAAGAGAGACTGCCTTCCAGTTCCACTGGCTGACTGGCTTTGACTAAGGCCGGACGCGTGAGGCTGCCACTGCCGATCACTTCCCTGAGAACACCGTCACCGTATGCTCCACTCTTTAAGGTTCCGAATATTGAACATGAAATTTGACTGCACCGTTGACGCGGTGGCAGTGTAACCATGTAGTCCATTCGAATCTACAATTTGGAACGTGCACCTATCTTCACTGAAGAACAGACTGACAGAATACTATTCTATTTTGACGTTTCTAACTAACTCTTCTTCTAATTTTGACTTTAAACCAACTACGTGTGCATGTGTCGCGGGTAAGATTCCTGGGCGTGACAAGTCTTTCATGCGAAAATTGTTGTTTCGGTTCTGAATGTCGAGAGTAACATAGTAACTTGTGTGTTAAGTGTGGGAGAGCCATGCTTCGCACGAATGGGTCTGCTCGACTGGAATGATACTACAGCCTCGCAGAAAGCCGGCGTGTAACAACTACAGAATTGTGTTTCGCCTTGTGAGTGAGGTTACTGGAGGCCCAATCCTTCCCTTCCCGTTAGTTAATTTTTTTTTTATTCATTTTTTCTTTTCATTTATGTTTTTATTATATCTGTGTTAATGTAACTGGATCAAATACGTGTTAAAATAAATTAAATTAAAAAATAGATTTTAAAAAAATGACAGTTTTCCGGCCTATCACATAAAAAAAAACTAATATGACCTAAATTTTTTGTATTAAAACTAATACAATTCACATTAATTACCTACTCGAAAGATGTAGTGTAGTGAAATATTTTCAACAAAGATATGAAAGGCTTCAATAATAAACCCGCGGAACGCTAAAACTTGATCCGAAGATGTTAATACAACAGTGAATCTCGCGCTATCGACGCGCGCGGTCGTGTGCTCAATATATACAGGTTTTTTGTGACAAAATTGGACTTTACCCCGTTAAAATTACCGGTAAGTTAACGTTTTTTGGTTATATTATATTTAAAGTTGACCTTTTGATATTTTTTAGTGTTTTTATGTGTATTAATGTATAGATTTATAGTTTTTTTCTTTAGTTTAAAGATAAAACGATTTTCATTTGCGTAGGCTTGACGTTTCTTCATAATATGTAAAGAATTTGAATCGAGTTCCATAAACATATGTATAATTTTTTTATCTAGAACTTTTTCTCTAACAACGAAAGGGCCACTTTCTCCCATTTTTCCCCCTCTACTTTCCTAATATTCTTTTTTATAAGAACCTTCTCCTGACAATAATAAATAGGTACAACAAATAATGAATTGGCAAAATTGGTCCAGGCGTTTTTGAGTTATGCGCTTACCAACACATTTTGCGATAAATTTTTATATATAAAGACTAGCTAATCTCGCGTGGTTTCACCCGCTGCTATTCTGCATTAAATCGTAGCGTTATGTTTTATAGCCTATAGCACTCAGGAACATTGTAGTTATCTACCATTGAAATAATTTTGGCAATCTGACCAGCGGTTCCAAAATTATCTCCTACATACAAACTTACAAATTTTACCTCTTTATAATATATATGTATAGATATACCTATTGTAAAATATTATGTTATGATTCTTCCATATACTCTCTTGTATGTTTTCGCACGACTTAAACAACCTTTTTTTTTCAAACCCGATTCGAAATATCTGCGCGCTTTTTGTAAAACAAACAGACAAACTCTTGAACTTAGTACCTATATAGATACGAGTATAGCCGTATACATAATTAAGTATGAGTTTTTTACTCATAATAAACATTGAAACAAATGTGGTAAACAAGTGTAGGAGAGCCATGCTTCGGCACGAATGTGTCGGCTCGACCGGAGTGATACCACGCCCTCACAGAACCGGCGTGAAATAACCACAGCGTTGTGTTTCGCGATGCGAGTGAGGTTACCGGAGGCCCAATTTTTCCACTCCCCCGATCCCTCCCAAACCCTAATCCCTAAAAGGTCGGCAACGCACTCGTAACTCCTCTGTTGCGGGTGTCCATGGGCGGCGCTGATTGCTTACCATCAGGTAATCCGTCTGCTCGTTTGCCTCCTATTACGCAGCGGAAAATAAAGACGCTGTGGTTGTTTCACGCCGGTTTTCTGTGAGGCCGTGGTATCACCCCGGTCGATCTAATCGTGCCGGAGCATGACTGTCACACAATAAATATATGTATATGCTTTGTTTACAAACACATTTCACAGCCATCTTGTTACAAGTATTATTTACTAGCTATTCTCGCGCTGTATCACCCGCTGCTCGGCCCCGTTTGATCGTAGCGAGATGTTTTATAGCCTATAGCACTCTGGAACGTTGTAGCTATCTATCAAGGAAAGAATTTTGGAAATCCGACCAGCGGTTCCAAAGATTACCCCCTACATACAAACTTACAAATTTTACCTCTTTATAATAGTAGTATAGATATTATATTATATAATACTACTGTGTCTATGTATTATAATTGATTCGTTACATGTCGTAATTATCTATGTAATGTCTGTTGTATTGTATGGAAAAATTAATTTCCTTACGTTTTATTGCATAATCGACTGTAACGTTGTTGTTTTAAAGTTGCTTGTTTATTATTGTAAACATAATTATTATATATTAATTACTAATATTATAAAGGCTTAAGTTGGTTTGCTTATTATATTTTTACGCTTTGTCAAGTTGGATGTTATTGAAGAAGAGATATGTAGGTTTCGTCACGCTAACAAGAATTCCGTGGATAAAAACTTAAAACAATTTTCTCTCCCACACTTAAAACAATTTTCAATACTTAAACTTTGTTTGTCTTAAGTTTATAAAAGTACAAAAATGTTATCTCAATGGCGTAGTAGCCGTAATTAAGGCTGCTAAGCGTGAATTCCCAAGCGATTTGCGGTTGCGTAATTGTGTGGTAAGCGCAGTGGTTCAACAACCGGCAGCGACTGTTGCCTACTCAAAATAACAATCTAAGTATGTGAATCATAATTAATTTTGATTCCCATTTAATATTTAAAAGTAATCGCAGATGTACTGTAAGAAAAAAATATATTTTTTTAATAAATCTGGCAACTCGATGTGGCTTCGGACGGCTGCAACGCTGATACTAAATTTCTTCACTTTTCAATGGTTGTTATTTTACATGTAAACCTTCCTCTTCAATCACTCTATCTATTAAGAAAAACTGTATCGAAAAACCGTTTCGTAGTTTTTAAGATTTAACCGTAGATAGGGATATAGGGACAAAGAAAGGGACTTTGTTTTATACTATCTACTTAGTGACTGTATTGTCCTTAAGGTTATTTTCTTTTTATATTTCTCCGAATAAATATAAGTGTTACACTGTTGTCACGTAATTGAACCAACTCAACTGTTTGTAAAAGGAATCTGTATGTGAAACTGATTTAAAAAGAGTAACCATGGAATTTCTTGCTCGTTCTTCTCCATCGGAATTTACACTTTGGAACGAACAAATAGCTTCACTAAGAGGACTGACTGACACAATATCTCCAAAATTTTGTTTGACGTTCAAAAGTGCCTGTAAAGGTCTAATTGGAATAAATGATTTTTGACTTTTGATTGTGTAGGTAAGGTACAATCGCAGAACGTTAGGTTTTACAAATGTCTTGCCGGTAATTTGTGAGTTAGCATATTGGGTTACGGCGAAACACAACGCTGTGGTTGTTTCACGCCGGTTTTCTGTGAGGCCGTGCTATCACTCCGGTCGAGCCGACTCATTGGTGGCGAAGCATGGCTCTCCCACACTTAATTTATTATAAAAAAAAACAATCGAATTGAAGAACTCGCTTCTTTTAGAAGTCGGTTTAATAAATGACTGGTACCGAGGTATTTCAACAACCGTGTGAAGCTGTGACGGGCCAATGTTAAACAATAATAATTATCTATAAACAATCGATGTTCCTTGCAAATCACCATGGCAACGGCCCTTTAAGTGCCTGCGTATAATTATAAAGTTAAAACCATGGTCAAGTTACGAAACCGTTCGTACTTACATACCTTCGCGTAAGCATAACTGTACTTGCTTGAATATGTAGCACATATGTTTAAACTTGAAATTCTTGGGAGAATTTAACTTAGTTCTGCGAGTCAAGCACAATAACTGCGCAGACTGGAGCAGGAGAAGGAACGGGGGGTTTTTAGTCAGTAAGAGTCTGACACACCCTCTGACCTTACCCTCCGTTAAGTGTAGCTGATCTGCTTCGTCACGAATGAGTCGGCTCGACCGGAGTGATACCACCTCACCAAAAACCGACGGGAAACCGCCACAGCATTGGGTTTCGCCGTGTGAGTGAGGTTAACGGAGGCCCCCTCTCCCCATCCCTTCCTAATCCTTAAATATCAAAAGGCCGGCAACGCATTCGTAAGTCCTCCATTGTTGTGGGTGTCCATGGGCAGAAACTCGAAAGATTGTTTATAAACTTATTTGAAAAAGGTTTTAAAAATATGAAATATGTATAATAATATAATTCATCACTACATAGTAAAAAACAAAGTCGCTTTCTCTGTCCCTATGTTTGCTTAAATCTTTAAAACTAAACAACGGATTTTGATGCTGTTTATTTAATAGATAGAGTGATTGAAAATAAAGGTTTGAATGTATAATAACATCCATTGAATAGTGGAGAAATTTGGTATCAGCATAGCACCAATGCTAAGTCGCTACTTAAATATACATAAATAAATAAGTACTAACGTATCCCTATTTAAATAAGTTGCAATAATTATTACATCAAATTATAAGCCGTACCTTCGTAAATATTAAACGTATCTAAAGTTACGCATTAAAAACTCTTTTCCATATTATGAACTTTCCAATTCCATTTCCGTTATTTTCCATTCACAAACATCTCGTTGCGTGGTCGCGTTCCAAATTCGAATCGCTAGGTCAGTGTTGCCAGTGAAGATAAATCGATAGGTAGTATGTGTGTAAAAAAGATATTAATATTTATTTAAGTAAGTATCTGTATTATGTATGCATTGCATTATACTTACTTAAATATCACATAAGTACTGAGATTTTTTATTTGTTTTATTTTAATTAATGCTGCTTACTTTTTTATGCATCACACAGAGGTCACAGACTCTAAGATAATGTCAACGACATTAAGTCCACCTACACACCTATAAGTGCATAGAGCTTAAATAAATCATCTACATTTAGTCTAATATATAAAATTCTCGTGTCACAGTTTTCGTTGCCATACACCTCCTAAACGGCTTGACCGATTTTGATGAATTTTTTTGTGCTTATCCGGTATCTATGAGAATCGGCCAAAATCTATTTTTCATCCCCCTAAATGTTAGTAGTCCACCCCTACACTTATTTTACTTATTTTTTATTTAAAAAAAAATATACAATTTTTTTATAATACAACATACAAAACTACATACAATCCTCAATTTTCACCCTTCTACGATCAACCCTTATTTTTTAATAGCCAAAAACGGGTCAGCTGGTACCTACCTATCTGTATAAAAAAATGAGCTGCAAGAAGTGTTTGTAGGTAAGGGCATAGCTTAACAACGCCTGTACCAAGATGGGTAATTCTTTTTTTGAGACGGTACCGAGAAAATAGTTGGAGGAAATTCACAAGTTACTGATGGTAGCCAATAGACCACCACAGACGGGGACCTATAGGGCTGATGTTTAGCCGGGGTTGCGGGGTAAGCGCAATGTGTCACCGCAGCCTCGGCCCAGAGCTGGAGAAGGAACGCGGAGATTTTCATTTTAGTCAGTAAGAGTCTGACACTCTTTCTCACCGTATCCAGGGCGGGAGAGGTCATTTGATGATTTTACCCTGACAAAAAAAAGTGCTGTATGTAATGGCAAGGTACATATTAAAGTGTCATCAAAGACATGTCTAAGTGCAGTGAATTGTCACATAAATTGGCTATACAGCGTTAGAAATTGCACTTTCTAGTTTCAATGCACCCAAATTATGGGCAA